GTGATTGGCATCATCATTAGAACAGAAAAAGTGGAATTCAGCCTGATGAGAGGAAAATTGTGGAGAACTTTGAAAGTAAGGATGAGGAATTTTGTGTGTGATGCTGTTGAAGTGGTGGAGCCTTTGGAGAGACGTCAAGAGTGGACATTGATATAGGTGGAGACCAAGAGTTGGGAAGATGATTGTAGTGGCAGCACTTGAAATAGATTTTCAGATTGCAGTACTGGAGGTAGCAGAGGAAAAAGTTCAGATCTTGGAGATTTTCAGGAAGAAATGGTAAGATTTAAACATGAAATTGATGTGGGGATGTCAACAACTGGTCAGTAAGAATAACCCCGCTGTGGCTCTGCAGTTCCCCACCTTATCAACTAGTCGATGGAAATTCCATCAATTAGTCAATTAGCTGATTAAACACCATTTAACATTCCTACCTGCTTGTATGCGTCACTGGAGAGGTGCAAATCAAAGATGAAACCAAAATTATGGCCTAAATTGACAAGTAAAATGATGCTTCTGATAGGCTGGATCAGAGAAGTCACCTGGTGTGCTGATCATGCCACTGAGCCTGCCTATCTGCCCTCTGGGGTACCCTGTCACCCTGTCCTGCTGGGCCAGAAACTCTGGTCTCTCCCAGCCAAGACACAGAGTTAGGGTAACAGTCCTTAAAGAGAGCAACACAGACACTGAACTAGCTGAGCTCTGGAAAGGCTTAGCTGTAGGGCCTTGATAGCATCCAGGAACACAACCGTCAAAAGTGACCAAACCCCCAAATCCATCTTACTCTGTATAAAAGTCTTACACAGAGAAAGCTTGTAAGTCTCACTCTCTTTATTGATACAAAAAACAGGACTATGTAGCACTTTAAAGACTAACAAGATGGTTTATTAGGTGATGAGCTTTTGTGGGCCAGACCCACTTCCTCAGATCAAATAGTGGAAGAAAATTGTCACAACCATATATACCAAAGGATACAATTAAAAAAATGAACACATATGAAAAGGACAAATCAAATTTCAGAACAGAAGGAGGATGGGGGGGAGGAGGTAAATGTCTGTGAGCTAATGATATTAGAGGTGATAATTGGGGAAGCTATCTTTGTAACGGGTAAGATAATTAATGTCTTTGTTTAAAGTTAGGCGTAAAGTATCGAATTTAGGCATGAATGGCAGTTCAGAGGATTCTCTTTCAAGTGTGGTCTGAAAAGGTCTTTGAAATAGGATTCAAATGGTTGTGACAATTTTCCACTATTTGATATGAGGAAGTGGGTCTGGCCCACGAAAGCTCATTGCCTAATAAAACATCTTGTTAGTCTTTAAAGTGCTACATAGTCCTGTTTTTAGTCTGGTGTAGCTGAAACAAAAACAGCTATATTTCTATCTCTTTATTGATGAGAGATATGCACAGCTATGGTTCCCCCCTCAGGTAACAATTATTTACACTTGGCTTGATGATAAAAAGTCTTTTTCTTAAGTATAAAAGGTAGGATTTCAGTGATTGCAAGTTAAAACAGAAGAGATCAAAGCAACTTACTAAGCCAAAATAAACAAAACATGCCAATTAAGCCTAATACACTTAAGGCCAGGTCTACACTAGACTGGAAGGTCAGCTTAAGGTATGCAACTCCAGCTCCGTAGAATACGTAGCTAGAGTTGGTTTACCTTAAGCCGAGCTTGACACTGTCTCCACTGCGAGAGGGCAACAGGAGCAAATGCTTCTGTCAGCTTTCCTTACTCCTCGAAACAGTGAGGAGTACAGATGCCTGTTGGAGCTGCTCTCAGCATTCAATTTACAGGTCTATATTAGACCTGCTAAATTCAACACCAAAATGTCTGTCTCTAGCTCAGCAAGTGAAGACATGCACTAAGAAATTTGTGACATGCAAATTCTTACCCTAACGGTGGTTCTAATAATCTTTTTCACAAGCCAGGCAGCCTTCTGGCTTGGGCCCGCTCCTCTCCCCATTCAGTCTTAGATGCTTCCAGGAAGTATCTTGGGTGGTACGTGGGGATCTACTGATGTCCTGCCACCCCTTATTGTTTGTTTTTCTCACCTTTACATCCCCTTTGCTCAACCCTGGAATTCTTTGTGTTCAGTTCAAAATTTTCTCATCTTGTGTGGAAAAATAAAAGATCCAAAGTGGGATCCAGCAGCAGGTGGCTGGACCATGTGTTTTATAGCACCAACCACCGTTTGGGCTTACAGGAAAAACAAAGCCATTTACAGATGGTTGGCTTGAGTACCGAGCCATGATGTTTCCAGAGTATCACTAATGGCCCTCATTAGAACGTCTAGATTTATAAACAGATTCACACTTCGTATTTCTAACTTCTCATACAAGAATGATACATGCACAGAAATAGAATATGCACATTCAACAGATGGTAAGTTTTAAAATGTTACATGGTGTATTTTGCTCAAAGTATCTTCAAGTTATGCTTATTCATATTCATAAGCCAATTTTCTTAAAATATTTGGGGCATGACTGATGATGTCCACCATGACTGATAAAGGTAGTCGTGGAGGGCTTTGAGGGAAAAGTCAGGGGCTCAGTGCTGGCGGTTTCATGTAAGTGCTAGACACCATGAGAAGACTTAGTTTGGATGGAGGGAAATTCGTGCAAAAGTGTTTGCCAATTTTATTTGGCCATGGAACCCCTAGGGTTGCCTTAAAAAAAGAAAAAGCCTTCGTCGAACAACAACAAAAAAAAGACACCCCCGCCCCGGCACCTCAATTCCCGGTGCTTTATGGAACAGGGATATGAGGAAGTGCCAGCTCTTTGCGGAACCCTGAGCACTAATTAGGAAACACTGGTGTAAAGGTATCAGTCAATGCCATGTATGTGGATGAGGTCACCCAGAGATAGGGTATATAGAGCAAGACTGGGCTGTAGCCTGCAGGCTGGATCCGGCTTGCCTAACACTTTGATCTGGCCAGCATACTGCATCTGGCACTTTCTATTTATATTTTGCTGCCCGTGCCGCTAAATTTCCAGACGGTGGCTTAGGCAGCAGGAACCTGTTTAAATGGTTCACAGCTCTGAGTTGTGACGCTACCTTGGCAGGGGCTGGATCTGCCAGTCTTTTACATAGCCACAGCAACCCCAGGTGGCTGCCAGGCAATGTGGTAGTAGTGGGGCATGGAGCCCATAAACCCTTTGCTGTGGCCTTAATTCAAAGCCTCTGGCCCCAGGCGATAATTGGGGGAGGCTAGTCCCTGGGCTCTGCCCTTCTGCCCCACCCCTTCTGGAACCGACCCGTGACCACATACCAAAAATCATTATGGCCCCCCTACAAAAATAATTGCCCACCCCTGGAATAGAGATACAATAGGAGAGGGAAGCTGAGACATTGCTATCAGCTTCCCTGTTCTCCACTTGTTGTTTGCATTTTTAATGTTAATTTTTGAAGTCTAAGGGCTAAACAAGCCCTACAGAGGGAGAGGGGTAGGGCAGCAAAATGCTGAAATTTTGGTGAGTAAATAAAATGCTCCTTCATTTAGTTTTTCCTAGTTTCTTTATTTTAAATTGGTGTTTGGGTTTGGTAGTTTTTGTGTATTTAAAATAAAGCTATAGGGTTTTGGGTTTTTTTAGATTCCAAAACATTTTACCTTTTAGATGAGAGTATGATCATTAACAATCCATTTCACTTTTCACAAAAATAGAGATGTAATTCAGATATTTACATTGTGGATGCCTAAAATAAACGAGTACAGTGGCATTGTGGAGACTACAAAAATATATAGTATAATGACCTTTCAGATATAACATTCTTGATGTAATATAATGTTCCTCTGTGCTGTTAAACAGTTTTTGTGTTTCATATGGAAGGATGCTGCATTATGGTGGTGGATGAAATAATCATGTATTTATGTAACATCTGATGTTTGTGAAGAGAGTTAAGGAGCTATTTAAATATAACATGGTAGTGGAAGTAGTTTCTTCTTAGATACACTTGGACAAGAATAAGGGTTCATCAACTTCTTCTCTTTTACTGACTACTTTGTAAGAGAGATCCACCCATGGATACATCCACTCTAAAAATCTCAAATCTTTGCGTTGCTTGGGAAATTCTGTTCTACAGATGGGGAGCTGACACACAGGAAAATCAAGTGATTTGACCAAGATCATTCAGGGAATCTTTGGCAGGGGTAGGAACTGAAGCCAGATTTTCTAACTATAAGATCATTTCTCTTGTATTAACATGTATTTCTCTTGTATTAGCATAATGTAATACAGTGGTCTCCAACCTTTTTACACTCAAGATCACTTTTTAAGTCTCAGAACAGGCGAAGATCTACTGCCCCGCCCCTTCCTTGAAGCCCCACCTACATTACATGAGGAAATCTAATGTAAATGTACTGCGCAGGTGCGCAGTTCAGAGAGGGCTCAAGAGCTATTCTTAGAGCCCCTGAGATCTACCGGTAGATCGCGATCTACTGGTTGGTGACCACGGATGTAATATATGTAGAAGAAGAGACTGTCACTGCTTTTCAGAGAGAATGCATTGACACACAAACACAAGTATTTGGTTTGCAAGTACTGATAAATGACATTTAAAAACCAACAAATGCTACTCTTAATTTGCATGGCCTGCAACAGTGGAATAATCCATTATTTCCAGCAATTGTCTGTTTGCTAATTATTTGTCTGGGATGTTCCTACTAGGTAGGTAGAAGCTGTCAATCAAGGCTCAAGAGAAGGAGAAACTAAACCTAATAATCCTGTGGCTAGGGATGTGGCTTGCAGAAAAGATTTTGGTGGGGGCACTTGAAGTTTTGGCTGCCTTTTGTAAGTGTATGTGGTCTATCTGATGCTTATTTGAAGGGGGACGAATTTAGTACAGGTTCTTACCTGCTTTATGCCGTCTTTCATTGGAGCAACTTCTTCTGAAGATCATGAAAATGGTGAAGTTAAGAGAGGATTAGTACATCCTGTCACTTGGACAACTGCTCCATCATGTTGCAGCCTTGCATTGAAGGGACATTGTCTTTTTTGCTCCCAGTCCCCTGCAGAGCAAAAAGGTTTGTCGGATTCAGGCGAGGACTCACAGGGAGAGGCTGAGTCCCCCCACGGTGGTATGGGTCACACAGAATCAGCTGGTGAGCGCGACTTTGAGCTTCCTGCTCCCGCTGTTGCCTCAGTCAGTACTACTCTGATTCCTGCTTCTGAAGTCCAGCTTGCTCCTATTCAACAAGAACTGGCAGGGGTAAGTGCGAACCTACCAAGTACTTCTGCTGCTGATGGGATTTAATTTTTTTTTAATTCTGTCCATTCCCCTAAAGTGGTTAAGTGATGCTGTAAACTCTCATTGTTAATAATTTTCCCGGATCCTGTATTACTCCTCCTAAGCCAATAGTTCAGTTGGTAGGAAAAGAAGATTTTTGGTAATGAGGAGAGTTTTGAAAGACTTGTCCTTTATGTAAACTCTCTTCAAAGGGTAAAAAGAGATGCAGTGCTTCCAGGAACAAGAATTTTCCCAAGCCAGAGGAGAAGTGGGGGAGGAGGGGAAGGGAGTTCACAAGAATCAAAGTAAGATCATCCAAGGAATCTTTCAAAAAAGAAGGGGATTTTTTTGACTCTAGTTTATAATCCTCCAATACAACAAAGCAAGAAGAGCTATAGAGCTCTTGTTCCCCTGGATTCAAACAGGTGCGTGCCATTCTTCTGTTTTACCTTCTAAATTACATTATCTAGAAGAGAATTTCTTAATGCTGGCAGAAGAGTTAACAATGTGTGAAACTGCAGACTAGAAAAAAAATCTGTGTAAATTCAGTTCTCAAAAGTACATAAAGTTGTGGGTTTGTTGGCTAAAGACCATGATCCTTACAGAGGAGGAGAGAATATTTTCAGAAAGATCAAATGTACAGACTGGTGCTTCCAGGCATTGAGTGAAAGCTATTATAGTGTCATGCTTTGAGACCAAAAAAACAGTACATCAGTCTGGACAAAACTGTAAGGAGCTTAATAAGAGAGATTCTATCTAAAGCCTTTTAATGAGCTTTTTAGAAGGGCTATTTGTTCCACTACAGTTGCTGAAGATTATTGGCTGAGACAATGAAAAGCTGATACCCAAATGAAATTGTTAGCATTTTCTAAGTTGGCCAGGAAAAAATTGTTTGGACACTCCTTCAAGAAAGTAAAGCCTAAAAAAAGAAAATGGCATTATCTGTCAAACTTGCTTGAATTTTAAAAATAACTTCAATTCTAACAGTCTTATTGTCAGGCCAGTTAACCCAGAGTTTAAATAGATGCTGTACATGCATAAACTGTAGTGGGAGTCAGCAAGTGGAAGAGATCATAAAGGAGCTGGGTTTCCAAGCAGACTCTGACACCTAATAATCCTTTGTGATTATCCTCATAGCTTTAAAAGAACCCTCAGGAGAATGGGAGCACTTTTATAGGAGGAAAATGAGATTCAGCAATGGCCAATTATTAGAAACTACTACCATGAGTAATCAAATTCTCCCAGGATTCCTCTTGATTCCTAGAACAAGATACAATGCAGAATTCATAGCTTTTTTCCTGTGCATCTTCTGAGTGCTGATATCACTGTGAATTCCTGGTTCCATCATAGGCTTTCAGAACATGATTCATCATTCATGTCCCCAACAAGGCTGGTAAAGTAATGCTAATTCTAGAACTGGAGGAATTGTAAGTGATGTTGATCTGGCAGTGCACCTAGCACTGTTACCACCTGTAGAGACAAACATGGGCTAGATTCCCTGTTTGTCAAAATGACCCTTGGTACTATGGAGATGGAGGGCTCTGAGAGCTGCTTACAGTTCTTTGATTGTCAGCTAGTTGTCTGGTCTAGATAAGTATGCAGCAGGGTCTTCTCTAAGTGCACCAGCTTGCCAGAGTCATGCATGCTTGGGTCTCTCCTCCTTCCTACTTGCTGCACTTGAGGCTGGTTACAGTAATGTATGTAAACAAATACTGAATGTAAGTACACAGTGGACAAAGAAGAAATGACTGAGTGTGCCTTGAAGAGAATCAGCTGTCTCTTCAGGCCATGCATTTTTTACAGAAGAAAGACACTTAGATGAATTGACTGAGCAGAAGGATGATACAGGACTTAATGGCATCTGCATAGCAGGGATGTGAATGGTTAACTGGTAAGCATCACTGGGCAATGCTACTGGTTATGGTTAACCGGGGGTGGAGGTGTGTTTGTGCGTGTGCACTTCAACCTGGCCGCTTACCGGTTATGGTTAACTGGGGGAGAGAGCTCCAGCCCGGCTGCCCCCTGTTTAAGCTGTTAACTGGTTAAACGACTGATTAAATGGGATTTTTCGTTCCTACTGCATAGGGAAATATTAATGAATACCATTTTGTTTGACATACCACAAATGATCTCTGAAATGAACTAATTGGTGTTCTCCATTGGGGAAGTAATTGAAGTGCTTTGTGTAGATGCTATTTTATGATGGGAGATGGTATCTCCTTTCTTCTAATTTCAAAGATGGGCATGAAGAGACTTTTGAGCCACCATGGTGGTTCTTTGCTGGCTTGAGAAGTCCTCAGTATTGTTTTGATGTTTGTATGTTACTATAAATATTCATTGCAGTTTGCAAAGTGCAGAATAGGATGCAGCCCCCAAAAGCATAGTCTCTAGGGTCTTAAAACAAACCCTTTTGCCCACTTCTCACTGCTGAATGAGAAGAATTTCAGGTTACTGTGTATAATGGGTGGCAGAATTCTTATGCTTATGAAGATAACATTACAGATGTTAAATGTATATTAATTAGTGATGTAAAAAGTCGTTTAAAACAGTAACCGTGTAACCACTGAAAATCTTAGCAGTTATATGGTTACACATGCTGTGGGCTCTTCAGTATAAAACTTATTTAAGCTTTATACTGCAGAGCCTTCAGTGAAGCCTCCCTGGGAGCTGGGAAGGCAGTGGCTGCCGGCTTTGCTCTGGTAGCTGCCTCTCCGGCAGCCAGGTGAGTTTAACCAATAACATTAAGCTTCAGCTTATTGGTTAATCGGTTAAACTCTAACATCCCTAATATTCATGTTGTGATGTCGTCTTGAGTCTGTAAATATGTGACAGCTCAGTGCCCCTGCTGGTACTTTTGTTTACCAATCAGTAGCAAAGCAAAATTAAGATTCTAGGGAGCTTCAGTACTGCTGTTCAGAACAATGTGGAACTGTCAAACTTGTCAGTGTGGTGCTTCTGTTTGGGAGAATATTTGGAAGGTTGTGGGAGAGGCTAAAGTAGTAGCGAGAGTAGGAGGAGAGGAAATTTTCGCTCCTTGCAGAGGGTTTCAAAGATGAAAAGGGCTTTTAGGTGTTCTGTCTGTGTCCTTTGAAGTACCAGGACCTGGAAAACTATATCTTGATCCCCTTGTGGTCTGCAATTCTGTAGGTGTAATATTTGGTGTGGGATTCACCCTTTGCCACAGAATTATTCTTAAGTATTCTAAACTTCAAAAGGCTCATGAAACTGTGTAAACCAGTGAAGTGCTTTTTCTGAGTTTTTAGGTAGCCTAAGACAACAGAGAGCTGTGAATTTTGCTAGTTATATCACTAGAGTGAAAGATCTACAAACTAAAGGTTGCAATTGAAATGTCAGTACTGATAACTGTATCACATAATGGTAGCCAAACATCCAGCTAATTCCACGTGCCCTCACACTGCTTCCCATGCCTCCAAAAGTGGCAGCTGTCTCTATCCCACTTGCTAAACACTACAGCTTCTCCTTACAGTTCTGCAGCATTGCTGTCTTGTCAGTATAGAAATATGAGAGATTGGAAACTTGAATGTGTGGAGAATGTAAAATAGAATTTAACATCAAAATAAACAACATTTGGATACTGTTGCATAGACTATTTTTTCATAATTAATTTTAAAATGCTTATTCTTTAACTAGCTGGAGTTACCTGGCGTTGCTCGGGAAACTGGAGGTACAAAATGTAGAAAAACAGTAGTCCATTATCTTTTTTTGAATGGTAGAAAAGTTGCACTGATTTCTATAGGGATTAAAATATAGGTCCGCATCATCCCCGGGTGGAGGGGAGGCTACACGCAGAAGGGGTGCCCCAGCTCACGCATGGGGCTTCAGGTGCCGTAGGGGTCAGGGCAGGTGCCCGAGCCGTTGTGCACGTGGGGTGTCGGGGCACTGTGTGCCGGGGCAGAGGGAGGTGGGAAACAGGGTTGCTTATGTAACCTTGTGGGCGGGAGGGGATGAGTCCCGGACAGCGCTGGGGGCCACAGGTGGCAGGCACGGGACCTCGTGTGGGCAGGGCAGTCCCTGTAGTGCAGTGAGTTACTTTTTGATTTTTACAGCTTGAGCTCAGGCCCGATCGGGTCCCAAAGTACCTTTAAAACCTACTCCTGGATGAAAGGTTATCCCATGCAAAGATTGGTTGTGGTAGCTCTTATATATAGTGTCCAAATTATTAGCGCACAAATTTACAAACATTCTCCTTTATATATTAGATTTAAATGAAGCTGAGACATAATTGAGTTTCATCTTGCCCTAGAGTACATGGATTATATACAAATACCTGGCTAGTCAAGTGAGGTTCCTGAGTACCTTGACCTCCTCAATTGTATCATGCTGTATTTGACAAAAGTAGGAAATGGCTTCTCAACTGTATTCTGAAAATTGGATTAGCTTTAAGTACGATTTCTGGGGGAGAGAGAATCTGATCTTAGAATGATTCAAAGTCTGGAAAACTCACTTAGTGGTGACTTAAGAAGCTTGACGTTCATTTTTAGTCAAGAGCAGTTTAAATGGTATCTTGATTGATGTGCATGGGGAAAATATTTCTGATGTAAGAGGGCTCTTTAAATCTAGCAGAGAAAAATGCATCATGATATCCAGTTGTTAGAAGCTGAAAGTAGACACATTTACACTAGAAATAAGATGTTAATTACCATCATTATTGAAAATGTATCATGAAAACAACTTACCCAGGGACCTGGTGGCCTCTCCATCATTTAGTCTTTTTAAGACTGGATGTCTTCCATACAAGGGAAGTTTTGGACATTTGATAGTTTATGCTGTGCAGGAGATCAGGTTACAGGATTGTAATCATTCCTTCTGGACTTATTCTGTGGAAGACTCTGATTCCCAAGTTGTAGAAATTTAGTGGGTCTAAGTATTGGCACATGTAGAGCTGAAGTGTTAGTAATTATGATGTTATTACATGGAAACAGTTCCCTTTAAATAAACATTACGTTAATGTTGCAAAGTCA